GTTTGTGCTGACTTCTTTTTTTTTGTCTTTTTCTGTTTGTATTTTTGTTTTGATCCCTCTGCTTAATTTTGTTATATGTTGACTGTAGGTGGGGAAGAGGGGGGTGGAGGGAATGATGACACTCCATGAGGAAGTCAGTTTGCAACTGCAGTTCTTCGAGAGAACCTTGGGCGTTTTCCTTAGAGCAGTAGTTTCATGCCTTTTGTAGGGCAAAGAGCCACTCTGTGATAAGGGATAAAGCATATGGGTTCAAACACAGGGCAGTGTGGTTAATCTCCTAACCTTTTCTTGATTTACGTTGCTTTTCATTGTTTTGTGTTTACATATATTTAACAATTTATTATTTTACTCTGTCTAATATTTATCTGTGTCCTTGTTTGTAATTCTCTGTTAGCTATTTTGACAAGTATTTGTGGCTAGTATCTCTGGACTGTTGACTATTTGATGTTCACAGGCAGTTTCTGCTGACCATCCAGTCCCTGCTGGTAATTCTTGCTCATTGTTCACATTCATGAGTATCTCTGCTGACCGATATTTCTTTTGAGATGTTTTCTTGGAGCTGTGGTAGTGCAGCAGCTAGACACTCAACTGGCAGCCCAAAAGCCTTGGGTTCGGATCTGCATCTGGATACATTGATCAAAGCTCCCAGGTCGTCCCAGCCTTTAAGGGCTGCCAGGTAATGACATGGGAAGTAAAGGCAGCCGGCATGATATTGACCACATCAGCCAGTGAGTTCTGATTGGTCTATAAAAATATGGGTGTAATACTAGATACCTGATGTGCTCAGGTCGTGGAAAAGGTCTCGTAGTTACTTTACTGACAGTATACCTAATATCCCACTTCTCATGACAAGTGGCTATTTCTTTGTCTGTTTTTTCATCAGTTTTTAAACATAAAGTGCTAGCATAAAGTTAGATGCATGATGGGATAACATTGTGATGTAGAACAGATGTCACTGCAGTCAGGACAAGCCCATAAGTGCTCACTCTTTCTCAGTAGATAGAAGTCAGAGATTGTCACTGTCGTCTGCTGTCAACTACATGCCACAGACTGTCCTCTCCTGGGATCTTGCCAGGTTGGACTGAATAATCTGTCTGACATAACATTTTTCACAGTCATGAGACTGCGTCTTTCATTTTTATTACAGACAAATGATTTGTGTATTTTGTAATTAATTGTGTGCTAATTTCTAATAAGTGTACATCTCTGCCACCTTATGTGGCACACTGTCATGTTTATGAGTCCACAGGATTGGGATAATTATACCTTTTGTTGACTTGCATGTTTGTGATTGACCTTTGCATGATTGCCAGATGTATATGCATGACTTGAAAACCTTGTGTGTGTGTGTTGCTTTTTTCAACTCACTGATTTCTTTGCGTCTGAGTTGTTGAAATGAATGCAAGATTTATTAATTTTCACTTCTTGTTTATTTACTCACATTTTTTTGGAGTTTTCAACTTTGCTTCTTCCTTTTCACATGTTCTTGACTGAAATTTAGTTTCCTGAACTTTTAACAAAACATATAACATTAGAAAGAAGCTCTCATACAGTGATTAGTGCTAAGGACTACCAGTATAGAGGTCCGGACTCAAGTAATTTTAGAGGCGTAGTTTTATTCTGGCCACATTTGCCACTTGATCAGCAAAAGCTGTGAAATCGATGGCAGGTATTCTTCAGAGAGGGTTGTGGTTGCAACCAATGGAGCTGGTTAATATGTGACCTAGTCAGTATATGGTCTGTTACTTACCTGGCAATACTGGTATCTGCTGTGTGTCTGTGGGGGATTTTATAACATTGAACTTATGACCTTCTTATAAAAACTAGTTACTTCTTGTGTTTGTCACTTTGTGGTGGGGGGGGGGGGGGGCTGACAGGTGGATGTGTCTGAAGTTAAGGTAAATTCAGTGACCTTTCAATGACCATCAGGAAAGAAGTTGGGAAGGAACCATTATTAGACTTCATCAAGCGACAATAGATAAAATGGTTTGGCCATGTATCAAGACTGTCACCAGACAGCACATCACAGAGAGGCCTGTCGGTTAGTTGTAATGGAAGCAGGTCAACCAGCCAAATGATGGACAGATGGATATTCTGAGGCTCTAAATACCAGCATCCGTGTAGCCCATAGCCAGACTTGAACCTGGTGCCTCTACCACTCCTGATGCTGAAAGGCAGAACACGACTAGAGAAGAATGTTGAAATAAGAATCGACATCATAGCACTCAGGAAGCTCCCATAGTGCTCTGTCCCCATTTTCAGCAGCAAGCAAAGAGTTCCAATTCCAGTGGCACCAGTAGCTGTGTGATTATATATCTGTCTCATCCTTCCCCTGAGTGTTGAGCGTCAGCCACATTCCCTGGTAACTCCTCGCAGTGCCAGTCTCCTCAGACCGTAATGTTCTATTTGTGCCTCTGCACTATTTACGCACTCGCCAAGGGCCCTCACAACATCTAGCTTGTCATACATCAGTTCACCACCAGTTGGTTTAGAACCGGCCAGTCTATCTGCTGCTTATTTCCCAACACACCATGACCTGGAGAAAATATCCAAAGGGCGCTAACTACCCAGGACCTCTGAAGCTATGCTCGGAGCATGCTTGTCTCCACATTTCTCAGCATACTCTGTGAGTCAGTTACAGTATGTAAAGCAGTGATTGCCTGCCCCTGCTTTCTCAGACCAGGACTAGAGAAGAAGAAGTAGTCATCATCGTCATTTGCCCTGCCAACTGGCGTAGGCGCTCATGCCTCCACAGATCACTATCCCTGGTTCATTTTAGCCCATCTAACATTACCTCTCTTGGTCTGTCTCTAACCCTTTTTCCGCTGATCTTTCCAGTTGTCACGATGTTTTCCAATGTCTCTCTTCTTATTATGAGGCTAAAGAACAGTGTTTGTCTCTTTCTTATTGTTGTATATAGAGTCCTGCTTTCATTAGCCTCTTTCAAGCAATAGTTTTTAGTTACTCTGGCCGTCCAAAGTATTCATAACATTCGCCTCAGAAACCAGATCTCTGTTGCTTCCAAATTCTTCCTCATTTGTTCAGTGACAATTCAAGATTCGCTGCCATACAGCAGAACAGGTTCTATGTAACATTTTAGCTCCCTCTTTCTGACGTTAAATGAGAGTGATTTATTGCATAAGATATTTTTCATTTTCTGAAATGCATCTTTCGCTTGACCTATTCTTCTTGTAATCTCTGTCACACATTTTGCATCTGATGATATGATTGTTCTCAGATATTTAAATTTATTGACTTGATGAAGTCTTTTTTCCTTCAATTGAGATATCACAAAGTGGAGTTATCTTCTTCTTTGATATAACCATTACTTCCATTTTCTTAATATTCAGTGAAAGTCCTTTCTTAGCACTCTCCATCCTCACAGTCTCCAGCAGTTGTTGTCTATCACTTGCTTTTTCAGCTATCAAAACTGTATCGTCTGCATAACGCAAATTGTTTATTTTGTATCCTCCAACTCTTACTCCTGCATTCTCTTTAATTTTCCTTAAAATTATTTCACTAAATAGAGAGAAAAAGTCTGAGGATAAGAAGTAGTAGTCACAATTTTATAATTATTATTTTAATGTTGTTTGACATAAATGTAATAAAATGGTTTTTTTTTAATTTTTGCAGAATTGACAAATTGTCTTTGATATATTAATAAGATGTTGTCTTCAGAGATGTTCCGCAAGTGTTCCTTGTGTTTTATAAGACCTGATTTTCACACATTTCTCAACCATGTTGTATGATATTTTGTACAGTGGAGTTTTCACAGATTTTACTCAATGTTTTATAAATTGTGGTTATCACAGATTTTACCAAGTGTGTTTCATATTTTATAAAATAGTATATTCAAGGAATTTTTCCAGGTGTGCTGTTTGATATTTTGTAAAATTTCACAAAATCTGGCAATAACACCTTGACCTAATTTTTTGTTGGTTATTGTGTTTTATGGAAATCTACCTTCACCACTCCTAAGCCGAGTGATTTTATCCAGTGCTGTGTATGTTCCTGTGCAGTTTTATGTATGTATGTCTTGGCATTAAAGTCCATGGCTGATCAGATACCTAAAACCTGTGATTACCAGCCAAGGCCTGATTCAAGACAGTCTCTATGAGCTATATTCAAACGTGACCTGGTTACATTTTAATATGCCTCCCTGCAAACAAATGCTCCAGTCAGTCAGTAGCATGTCCTTTGCAAAACCTTGGTCCCATAACAACCTTCCTGAAAACTTCTCGATCACAAGCAGGATGTCCAGCGTCCAATACACCATCCACCACATCCTGCACCCATCTTCTCTTTGGCCCATTGTGTTGTCATTTACAGGTAGGCTGCAGCATCTGCACTTTTCACCTAGCAGATCCAAGTTAAGAAAGTCCCTAATTAGTCACCTTTAATGACATACTTGTTCAGGTTAGTAAATCTCTTTATCTCCCCGCCCCCAACCCCCCTCCACACAAGAAAAACAGTCGGCCGGCCCTAAGATCTCACGCGGTCTAGATCTGTTCAGCTGCCGCAGGAGACATTAGAGGTACTCAAGTAACATTATTACAGTTGGACTTTTCAAACGTGTGTATTGTTTTGCAAAATAATTGGAGCTGGCAGTGGACAGGCATTACACCTGGATGCCCTATATTGTTTATGATAGATATTGCTGCTAGTTGACACAGACACACACCTGGATGACCTATATTGTTTATGATAGATATTGCTGCTAGTTGACACAGACACACACCTGGATGCCCTATATTGTTTATGATAGATATTGCTGCTAGTTGACACAGACACACACCTGGATGACCTATATTGTTTATGATAGATATTGCTGCTAGTTGACACAGACACACACCTGGATGACCTATATTGTTTATGATAGATATTGCTGCTAGTTGACACAGACACACACCTGGATGCCCTATATTGTTTATGATAGATATTGCTGCTAGTTGACACAGACACACACCTGGATGACCTATATTTGTGTTTGTTTCCTGCAGTCAGACGAGGTTTACCTGGAGGCCCAGATCCAGAACATCACCCCAGGTCCCATCTACATGGAGCACGTTAGCCTGGACCCCTCGCAGCAGTACACCTCAGCCGAGCTCAACGCCAAGGATGGCAAGGAAGGGTAGGAGTTAATCTAATTAGGCATTGGATGAAGAAAAGGCAAGGAAGTGGAGGAGTTAATCTAATTAGGCATTAGGTGAAGAAAAGGCAAGGAAGTGGAGGAGTTAATCTAATTAGGCATTAGGTGAAGAAAAGGCAAGGAAGTGGAGGAGTTAATCTAATTAGGCATTAGGTGAAGAAAAGGCAAGGAAGTGGAGGAGTTAATCTAATTAGGCATTAGGTGAAGAAAAGGCAAGGAAGTGGAGGAGTTAATCTAATTAGGCATTAGGTGAAGAAAAGGCAAGGAAGTGGAGGAGTTAATCTAATTAGGCATTAGGTGAAGAAAAGGCAAGGAAGTGGAGGAGTTAATCTAATTAGGCATTAGGTGAAGAAAAGGCAAGGAAGTGTTCGATTTTTGTGTGCTTAGGAAGAAGGTGAAAGAATCAAAGGTCAAGCAAAGATTGTACATACATTGACAGTAAGCTGACCACTTCCTGTTCAGTATTTTAATTCTAGCAGAAAGATCTTGTTGTTTGTATCTAGACCAGAAGTGGTGTAACCGGAAAGTTGTCTAGTTGTGTGGCGGACATATACCCCCCCCCCCCCCCCCCCCCCCCCCACAACCAACATTCCCCCCACCTTTCCACTATGAACATAACATACTTTATAAATAAAATACATTTGCTGTTTGAAAGATGGGTGCTTGGAAAGGCTGAATGTCAGATGGAAATGCATGGCTAATTTGTGACTTTTTTGGAGAGAAAAAAAACAAAGGTATGTTTCTCACTATGCCCCATCTTGTCAGTTGCGCACACCTTTCTGATCAAGTTCACATCTGCTATTATTATTGTGTATGATAACATAGATAACGATAAATATTCCATGTGATCTTTTTCTGATTCTTGACTGCAGCAGTCACCCTGTCTTTGGGACCCTGGACTGTCTGAGTCCCAGCGACACCAGACAGTACCTGTACTGCCTGACTCCTCGGCCGGAGATCTATTCGGACACGCGGCTGCTCAAGGGGGTCACCAACATTGGTAAACTAGACATCGTGTGGAAGACCAGCATGGGGGAGCGGGGCAGGCTGCAGACCAGCCAGCTCCAGAGAGTGGTAAGCTCACGTCTGCTGACATTATTTCAATTCTAAACTGATGGCTTCCGATTTGCTCGTATTTTTGTAATTGTTCTAGTTTATTAAGTTCAGAAAGTCAGAGAAAGGTTAACAATGCAGAGACTAAAGTGCAGGAAGAACCTTTGGCACTGCATCTGCAAGTGAGTTAAAGTATCATTTTGAGATCAGGCTTGTATCCCGTGGCAACTTATGTATGTGAGTCATGGACTCTTATTTACTTATTGAAGAAGAAATCTCAGAGCTTTTAAAAAAATGCTACAGAACAATTCTTAGAATATCATGGACTAAGAAGAAAAAGATCATTGATATCCTGGATGATCCAAATGTCAACAAGGATTGGCTCATAAACAACATCCTGCATGATCCAAATGTCAAGAAGAATTGGCGCACAAACAACATCCTGCATGATCCAAATGTCAAGAAGAATTGGCGCACAAACAACATCCTGCATGAACCAAATGTCAAGAAGAATTGGCTCACAAACAACATCCTGCATGATCCAAATGTCAAGAAGAATTGGCGCACAAACAACATCCTGCATGATCCAAATGTCAAGAAGAATTGGCTCATAAACAACATCCTGCATGATCCAAATGTCAACAAGGATTGGCTCATAAACAACATCCTGCATGATCCAAATGTCAAGAAGAATTGGCGCATAAACAACATCCTGTATGATCCAAATGTCAAGAAGAATTGGCTCACAAACAACATCCTGCATGATCCAAATGTCAACAAGAATTGGCACATAAACAACATCCTGCATGATCCAAATGTCAAGAAGAATTGGCGCATAAACAACATCCTGCATGATCCAAATGTCAAGAAGAATTGGCGCACAAACAACATCCTGCATGAACCAAATGTCAAGAAGAATTGGCTCATAAACAACATCCTGCATGAACCAAATGTCAAGAAGAATTGGCTCACAAACAACATCCTGCATGAACCAAATGTCAAGAAGAATTGGCTCATAAACAACATCCTGCATGAACCAAATGTCAAGAAGAATTGGCTCACAAACAACATCCTGCATGAACCAAATGTCAAGAAGAATTGGCTCATAAACAACATCCTGCATGATCCAAATGTCAAGAAGAATTGGCTCATAAACAACATCCTGCATGATCCAAATGTCAAGAAGAATTGGCGCACAAACAACATCCTGCATGATCCAAATGTCAAGAAGAATTGGCGCACAAACAACATCCTGCATGATCCAAATGTCAAGAAGAATTGGCGCATAAACAACATTCTGTCCCAAAAGCTTAAGCATTTTGGTCATTTTAAGCACCAACGGTGATGAAGGGTGCAGTTTTCAGAAAATGAAGCAGAGGCCGACCTCAACGAAGGGGAATACAAGGTAGTTGAAGATGTCTTGCTATCGAAGCACATAAGTCTGGAGAATTGGCTACAGAAAGAAATGCTTTTAGATGGGCTGTGAGTAAAGTGACATTCTGTAAAGGACATGCTGGTTGATGATGATGATGATGGTGATGATAATGAGGATAAAGATGATGATAATGATGATGATAATGATGGTGATCCAGTTAAGATCAGCTATAATAATGTTCATTAAGTCTAGACTGTTAATTCAGAATTGCTCATATTATTTATTCTGGAGTATTATTTAGATGAGCTAACATATTCGAATTGGCTTGTGCTTTCTGATTATAGGAACTTTTTTTCTTCTCCTGTCTGATAAATTCTTAGGTCAGTGTCCGGCCTCAATATTTTCCAGACATACAGATGAGCACTCCTGACTGTAACTGTGTTAAGAAATAACTTGTGTGTTGAAATACAGAATATTTCACTGCTTTTGTTTTCTTTTGTTTTTTTAAAATAATGTTAATCTGAGAGGTGCGGAAAATTGTTAAACATGTTTACCTTTATGAAAGTCTGTTGTTGTTTACTTGGAGCAAAGTCTGCTGTTGTTTACCTTGATGAAAGTCTGTTGTTGTTTACTTGGAGCAAAGTCTGTTGTTGTTTACTTGGATCAAAGTCTGTTGTTGTTTACTTGGAGCTAAGTCTGTTGTTGTTTACCTAGATGAAAGTCTGCTGTTGTTTACTTGGATCAAAGTCTGTTGTTGTTTACTTTGATGAAAGTCTGTTGTTGTTTACCTTGATGAAAATTTGTTGTTATTTACCTTGATGATAGTCTGTTGTTGACTAGGTTTAGTTTAGTTAGTGGATCATTAAAGTCTTTGTTGATTGTTTCTCTGTGTCGCAGGCCCCTGGCTATGGAGATATCAGGCTGACTGTTGAAAGTGTTCCAGACACCGTAGCGTTAGAGTCCAGTTTTGACCTCGTCTGTAAGATCACCAACTGTTGGTAAGACACACCTCTGTACACATTTCTTTCTTCTTCTTGTGTACTTCTGCTTATGCCATAACACGCAGCAGAGAAACTTTGGATGTAGTTCGTGTCTTTTTTGTTTAAAATAGTTATTTAGCGTTTGTTAATAAAAATTGTGTTTCTTAACTGTCTCTTTTATTCCCTCTACCCATTTCTTTCTTGGTCAACCTCTTGCCTTTTAGCTGTAGCCTGCTGTTCTCTTGTAGTATGCTGTAGCTGCTGGCTGATTCTGTTCCAATCTGACCAGATGATCAAACCATTTGAATCTTTGATGTTCTATGAAATCATTTACCGGTACTGTGCTTACTGTTGTTCTTAGTTCTTCAGTGTCTCTTCTTGTTTTTTCTGCACATTTCTTATACATCTAATCTCACATGTTTTAATTTTGCCATTGTGTTTTCTAGGGCTGTCCCTGTCTGGCATTGATAGCAAAAAATTGATATGTGTAGCATATATAACAGCTGCTTTTTTGTGTTTATGTTGATTTTTTGGACATCTTGGAAGCGGCACTGTTTGTTACTGTACACAGTAACTTGATGAATTGTTTCTGCCTGTGACATCCATATTCATTGCTTTCTTGTGTGTGTTTGCTTTAGGTTGTTGTTGCTAGTAATTCATGTGTCTACTCAGGAGTCGACAGTGTGCAGACAGACATCTCTGTGTGGGTTCCAGGAGTTTAACAAAAATAATAAGAGTTAAAGTACAGAAGCGTGTAGAGTTCTTGTTTTCAACGTTTTCTCCCCCTCCTCTCTCTCTTTGCCCTCAGGTCTTTATCTGACAGTTGAATATAGTTGATGGTGTTTACACGTTCCTGATGAGATATGACCCAGCTAGTCTATTTTTGGGGTTTCAACATTTCCTTGAAGCGGCGTGGGGGGGGGGGGGGGGGGGGGGGGGGAGGGGCGCTAATGGATGTGTGCATCCATTACTGGTTTTGGAAATATGGCATGGTGAAGTCACAGGAGAATGCTCACATTGAGTACATCTGTTTCTTGAACAAAACCAGCACCTCTAAGGAGAACTGGAACAGTTGTTATATTTTCAGGTGTCACAGTTACGTGAACACATCTCATTGTTTCAGTGAACGGACCATGGACCTCACTTTGGTGCTGCAGAATGTCACTTCATCTCCTGGTCTCCTGTGGTCTGGGGTGTCTGGACGCCAGCTGGGCAAGCTGCCTCACAATGAGAGTCTGGACATTCCACTGTCTCTCATCTCTGTCATACCAGGTCTACAGGTGAGTCTTCTCTCAACTTATTAACCCTTCAAGTTTTTGTGTCTATGACAATTACTGGTTATCTACATTTGTCTGGTCCAAAAGGAGTTAAAACAGTTATTTCCTAGAGTAAAGAAATAAAGATACATGGCCTCTTGTTTAACCTATCCTGGCATTTTGCCATCAGGTCTATTTGTCCAAAACCAGCCAGCCCTGAAGAGCTGACTTTGTCAGTATTATGCTGCTCATATTCACACCAACATCATTCCATCATCAACTGTGCTGCCTCATGCACTTTCTTGCACAAGGCTTCTCTGATGACCTGTGTCCATCTTTGTGCTCTTCTTAGCCGGTACCATGCCGTCCACTACTTTCCTGTTCACTGTGGTGTGTGATCTGGCCAAAGTGTTTCAGTTTTTGAGACAAGATACTCATTTTACCTCCTAGAGAATTATGTGTTAGCTATCTGATGAGACTGAGCTGGATCTGTGTGCTAGCAAGGTGTTTGAACCCAGGACAATCAGGCAGGCAGAGCAGTCACTAAATGTCTGATTCCCCATAACACCACCGGACAAGGAAGGAGAACTTCATCTTAACTTGGTTTATAATAATAAAAAGTAAAAAAGTAAGTAAAGGACCCTTTTCCACGCCTTTAGGCGTATAGGGCATAGAAGGCTAGACCCATATTTTTATAGACCAATCGGCACAAGATGGGTGATGTGGTCAGTATCACGCCGGCCGCCTTTACTTTCCCGGGACTGCACCCGGTACCCACTCAAGGCTGAGTTGACCTGTGAGCCAAGGTCATTTTTGAAATAAGTCCGGCTTCGCCAGGGAGCGAACCCACGACCTTTCGATCCGCAGCGAGCTTCTAGTCGCTCGGCCACGGGGACTCCCTTATAATAATAATAATACAGGTCAACACATGAGCGCCTACGATAGTTGGCGGGGCACATGACGACGCTGAATACAGGTCAGATAATAGAAGCCAGAGCAGTATATTGAAATTTAGAAGCTACCCTAAAATCCAGAGGTAGATGTTATAACTTACAAACTGCCCGGCAAGCCAGAAGGGGAGGTTGTAACAGCTTCTTTGTAAATGCGCCATAGTACAAAATCACTCTCATTAAACATCAGAAAATGAGTACTGAAATGTTACATCGAGCCTGTTCTGTTGTAGGGCAGTGAATCTTGGAATGTGAGCAAGCAAATTGAGAAGAGTTTGGAGGCAACTGAGATGTGGTTCTGGAGAAGAATGTTGTGAATACCTTGGACTGCCAGAATCACTAACAATGCCTGGAAATGCTACGAAAGTAGAACATCATATACAATAATGAGAGGGGGACATAGATCTTTGGTCATGGGATGAGAACAGGAGCACTGTATCTCAGTGCTGGGCTAGAGTCCTGAACTTATAGCTCAGAATGGAAAGGAAGCCAATGTAGCCTCCTGCCTTCGGCCTTAATGTCTAGCATTCAAATCCGCATTGAGGCAGAATGTTTTTCAAAATGGACCTTAACATTCAGGTCGATCCAGCCAGGTAATGTCCTTGGAAGTAAAGGTGGCTGATGTAATGTAGACAACATCATCCAAGTGCTGACTGGTCTGTAAAACTGTAAGTATAGCACTATTTGCTGGATGCATGGGAAGACATGATAAATGTCCTGTGTTTAACTGTTACAAGAGTGGGAATGGAATGACTGGATAAATTTTATGTGAAGGAATTAACTGTTTGTTTCAGACAATATCTGGCCTGCGACTGACTGACAACTTTCTCAAGAGGACCTACGAGCACGACGAGATCGCCCAGGTGTTTGTCGTATCTGTAGATACGTGAAGCCAAGAGCTGGACCTCAGCTGCAATCACCAGATGTTTCAGCAGTAAAATTTAGTCTTAAACACTTAACAGTTCTGTGAAGGGAGACAATAGCTGATAACTTGCGCATTGAAGTTGATAGTTGTGTCCCCTGATGTTTTAATATTTATGTAAAAGATTTTGAGTGTGTATTTTATGTTATTACTCTCACTATTTAGTATAATGTAGTGAGTCTGTTGGAGTGATCAAGAACTACTCAGAAACAGGCAAAGATTCGGTTAATAGCTTGACTGTGTGTGTGTGTCTTTGCTCAAAAACTGCCTATTATAGGCCCATATTTGGGAGTAACTTTTAGCTCATAAAAGGTGATTGTCTTGTCCACACCCACATTGGACTTTAATTTACTCCATAGCCATCAGGAGTCTAACGTACCCAGGTTATACAGTTGAACAGGGTTTTTTCACTTTGCTTCTGTGAGATTCTCATCCGGAGAGCATCTTTTGAGTCACTGGATGTGGATCTCCCAGTATGCCATTTTAAGAAAAAAAGAATGAAAAATAAAAAAAATAAAATTTTTTCTTTTTGTTCACCCCATCTCAGGGACTTGGTGGGGAGTTCCTGGGAAAGTCCAATATTGGAGTGGGGGGGGGGGGGGGGTGTTAGTCAGTGTTCATTTCACACTCTTAAACCCCTACACTATTGGACTTTCCCGGGAACTCCCTATGAAATCTCAGAACCTTTGAGATGGGGTAAACAAAACAAAAAAGGATCAAGAAGAAAAAAAAAAGCATTTAGTGAAGCAGTGTACACTTCAGCGTGTAGATTACGGGAAATGATGTTGATAAATATTGCCATGCAAAGATATAGATGGAAACAAGAAGAATTGGTCAGCTTCACTTCTGTCACAGTCATGAACGGCATAAATATTGGACTGGAATTGAGTCACATCTTTTCATGTTTTTAGAGTTATGACTACTGGAGCCACTCTAACTAGAGTTTGGTAAATTTGGGGCTGCTTTTGTGCCGCATGGAGTGGCACGCCATATCCTAAGAATAAATAATACAGTAGACAAAGTGAATATTTGTAGACAAACTTCATGACTGACTCAGACAAACTTTATGACTGACTCAGACAAACTTCATGACTGACTCAGCAATTAATAAAGCAGTAGATAAAAGTGAATACTTTGTGAGTGGCTCAGGGTGAATGTTCCTGCATGTTTTTATTACTTTATAATGTAGTTGTCTTCAGCGTCATCTTTTAATATTCATTTAAGTTTTTGAAAATATATCTTCTTTTGTTTCAGTTTGCATCTTTCGCTGTTTGTTTTTTATGGAAGTGAATTTTTCTAAATTTACACTTGATAGTTTCTTTGTTATCTTTGGACTGTGTAAGTCTTTATGGTCTTTTAGAGCTAGGAGCTGCCATGGTGTAGAGATTAGAGGCTGGCCTGCGGATCAAAAAGTAGTAGGTTCAAGTACTGACAGAGCTGGACTTTTATTTGGTTAAATGACCTTGTTTGAAATGGGTCACTAGTACAGTCCTGGGAATATAGACCGCCGTATGATGGGAATGTAGACCGCCGCATGATGGGAATGTAGACCGCCGCATGATGGGAATATAGACCGCCGTATGATGGGAATGTAGACTGCCGTATGATGGGAATTTAGACCGCTGTATGATGAGAATATAGACCGCCGTATGATGGGAATGTAGACAGCCGCATGATGGGAATGTAGACTGCCGTATGATGGGAATGTAGACCGCCGTATGATGTTGACCACATCACCCATGAGTGCAGATTGGTCTATAAAATTTAGGTCCAGCTCTGTTTGCCCAACATGCCTGAGGGCATGAAAAGGGTCATTGACCTTCACTTCTAGAGAAGCTGAGGCCCAAACCTTCCCCATCCATTATTGTGCAATGTGACTACCAGATCTTTTTAAACCATTTCTAGTATTGAAGTTTTGTTTAGTAGCAAATAAATCTGACATACTTACAATAATATGAAATATTTAGACTACATATAAATAGAATGTCTATACATGGTTAAAAGGGGCCTTTTATCACTGTTATAGAGTTATGGGAAAGCTCTCTCTCTTTCTCTGTCTTTCTCTCTCTCTCTCTCTCTCTCTCTTTCTCTCTCTCTCTCTCTCTCTGTGTATGTGTGTACATGTGGGTGGGTGTGTGCGTGCATCCCTGTGTATGTGGAGGCCCCCCCCCCACCCCGCCCCTTTCCCCTCTAGGTTTTGTATAGAGAACTTGTAATGTTTTCTTTGTATTGTGCTGCCTAATGGCACAAGAGAGTCTTTGCTGTTGCTTACTTCAGCTTTTGGAACCATGCATTGACTGATGTTTGATGCCACTGACTCATGATTGATGTTACTGACTCATGATTGATGCCACTGACTCATTATTGATGCCACTGACTCATGATTGATGCCACTGAGTCATACCTAATGCTCCATGTATGTGACAGGTACCAGGAATAAATTATGTGCAATATGCTGAATTTTGACTTCTGTCATCCCCACTGTCATCATCAATGTTAGCACAGTCATCACTACAGGAAGGGTGAAACAATACACTGGATTAAGGTTGCAGCATTTGCTTGTGGCTAAAGCTGACTCTGGTTAAAGCTGACTCGACTCTGGTTAAAGCTGACTCTGGTTAAAGATGACTCTGTTTAAAGCTGACTCGACTCTGGCTAAGCTGACTCTGGTTAAAGCTGATTCGACTCTGGTTAAAGCTGACTCAACTCTGGTTAAAGCTGACTCTGGTTAAAGCTGACTCTGGTTAAAGCTGACTGGTTAAAGATGACTCGACTCTGGTTAAAGCTGACTCGACTCTGGTTAAAGCTGACTCGACTCTGGTTAAAGCTGACTAGACTCTGGTTAAAGCTGACTCGACTCTGGTTAAAGCTGACTCTGGTTAAAGCTGGCTCAGGTTAAAGCTGGCTCTGGTTAAAGCTGACTCTGGATAATGAAAAATTCTGTCTATGAGAATGTTGACTGTGTTGGTGTTTACAAGAAAAAAACTGTATGTGATGTGGTGAGGGGGCTTGTGTGTCTGTATATATGATGTGATAGCACTTGTGTGTATGTGATATGATGAGGGGGCTTGTGTGTCTGTGAACATGACATGGTGAGGGGACTTGTGTGTTTGTGAACATGTCATGGTGAGGGGACTTGTGTGTTTGTGAACATGACATGGTGAGGGGACTTGTGAGACTGAACATGACATGGTGAGGGGACTTGTGTGTCTGTGAACATGTCATGGTGAGGGGACTTGTGTGTTTGTGAACATGTCATGGTGAGGGGACTTGTGTGACTGAACATGACATGGTGAGGGAACTTGTGAGACTGAACATGACATGGTGAGGGGACTTGTGAGACTGAACATGACATGGTGAGGGAACTTATGTGTCTGTGAACATGACATGGTGAGGGGAACTATGTGTCTGTGAACATGACATGGTGAGGGGAACTATGTGTCTGTGAACATGACATGGTGAGGGGAACTATGTGTCTGTGAACATGACATGGTGAGGGGACTTGTGTGACTGTGAACATGACATGGTGAGGGGAACTATGTGTCTGTGAACATGATGTGAGGGGACTTGTGAGACTGTGAACATGACATGGTGAGGGAACTTGTGTGTTTGTGAACATGACATGGTGAGGGGACTTGTGTGACTGTGAACATGACATGGTGAGCTGACTTGTGTGACTGTGAACATGTCATGGTGAGGGGACTTGTGTGTTTGTGAACATGACATGGTGAGGGGACTTGTGTGACTGTGAACATGACATGGTGAGGGAACTTGTGTGTTTGTGAACATGTCATGGTGAGGGGACTTGTGTGACTGTGAACATGACATGGTGAGGGGACTTGTGTGACTGTGAACATGACATGGTGAGGGGACTTGTGTGACTGTGAACATGACATGGTGAGGGAACTTGTGCGTTTGTGAACATGTCATGGTGAGGGGACTTGTGTGACTGTGAACATGACATGGTGAGGGGACTTGTGTGACTGTGAAGATGACATGGTGAGGGGACTTGTGTGACTGTGAACATGACATGGTGAGGGGACTTGTGTGACTGTGAACATGACATGGTGAGGGGACTTGTGTGACTGTGAAGATGACATGGTGAGGGGACTTGTGTGACTGTGAACATGACATGGTGAGGGAACTTGTGCGTTTGTGAACATGTCATGGTGAGGGGACTTGTGTGACTGTGAACATGACATGGTGAGGGGACTTGTGTGTTTGTGAACATGACATGGTGAGCGGACTTGTGTGACTGTGAACATGTCATGGTGAGGGGACTTGTGTGTTTGTGAACATGTCATGGTGAGCGGACTTGTGTGACTGTGAACATGTCATGGTGAGGGGACTTGTGTGTTTGTGAACATGACATGGTGAGGGGACTTGTGTGACTGAACATGACATGGTGAGGGGACTTGTGAGACTGAACATGACATGGTGAGGGGACTTGTGAGACTGAACATGACATGGTGAGGGGACTTGTGAGACTGAACATGACATGGTGAGGGGACCTGTGTGTTTGTGAACATGACATGGTGAGGGGACTTGTGTGTTTGTGAACATGACATGGTGAGGGGACTTGTGTGACTGTGAACATGACATGTTGAGGGGACTTTTGTGTTTGTGAACATGACATGGTGAGGGAACTTATGTGTCTGTGAACATGACATGGTGAGGGGAACTATGTGTCTGTGAACATGACATGGTGAGGGGAACTATGTGTCTGTGAACATGACATGGTGAGGGGAACTATGTGTCTGTGAACATGACATGGTGAGGGGACTTGTGTGACTGTGAACATGACATGGTGAGGGGAACTATGTGTCTGTGAACATGATGTGAGGGGACTTGTGAGACTGTGAACATGACATGGTGAGGGAACTTGTGTGTTTGTGAACATGACATGGTGAGGGGACTTGTGTGACTGTGAACATGACATGATGAGCTGACTTGTGTGACTGTGAACATGACATGGTGAGGGAACTTGTGTGTTTGTGAACATGACATGGTGAGGGGACTTGTGTGACTGTGAACATGACATGGTGAGGGAACTTGTGTGTTTGTGAACATGTCATGGTGAGGGGACTTGTGTGACTGTGAACATGACATGGTGAGGGGACTTGTGTGACTGTGAACATGACATGGTGAGGGGACTTGTGTGACTGTGAACATGACATGGTGAGGGAACTTGTGCGTTTGTGAACATGTCATGGTGAGGGGACTTGTGTGACTGTGAACATGACATGGTGAGGGGACTTGTGTGACTGTGAAGATGACATGGTGAGGGGAACTATGTGTCTGTGAACATGACATGGTGAGGGGACTTGTGTGACTGTGAACATGACATGGTGAGGGAACTTGTGCGTTTGTGAACATGTCATGGTGAGGGGACTTGTGTGACTGTGAACATGTCATGGTGAGGGGACTTGTGTGACTGTGAACATGTCATGGTGAGGGGACTTGTGTGACTGTGAACATGACATGGTGAGGGGACTTGTGTGACTGTGAACATGACATGGTGAGGGGACTTGTGTGACTGTGAACATGACATGGTGAGGGGACTTGTGTGACTGCGAACATGACATGGTGAGGGAACTTGTGCGTTTGTGAACATGTCATGGTGAGGGGACTTGTGTGACTGTGAACATGACATGGTGAGGGGACTTGTGTGTTTGTGAACATGACATGGTGAGCGGACTTGTGTGACTGTGAACATGTCATGGTGAGGGGACTTGTGTGTTTGTGAACATGTCATGGTGAGCGGACTTGTGTGACTGTGAACATGTCATGGTGAGGGGACTTGTGTGTTTGTGAACATGACATGGTGAGGGGACTTGTGAGACTGAACATGACATGGTGAGGGGACTTGTGAGACTGAACATGACATGGTGAGGGGACTTGTGAGACTGAACATGACATGGTGAGGGGACTTATGTGTCTGTGAACATGACATGGTGAGGGAACTTATGTGTCTGTGAACATGACATGGTGAGGGGAACTATGTGTCTGTGAACATGACATGGTGAGGGAACTTATGTGTCTGTGAACATGACATGGTGAGGGGAACTATGTGTCTGTGAACATGACATGGTGAGGGAACTTATGTGTCTGTGAACATGACATGGTGAGGGGAACTATGTGTCTGTGAACATGACATGGTGAGGGGAACTATGTGTCTGTGAACATGACATGGTGAGGGAACTTATGTGTCTGTGAACATGACATGGTGAGGGGACGTGTGTGTTTGTGAACATGACATGGTGAGGGGACTTGTGAGACTGTGAACATGACATGGTGAGGGGACTTGTGAGACTGTGAACATGACATGGTGAGGGGATTTGTGTGACTGTGAACATGACATGGTGAGGGGACTTGTGTGTCTATGAACATGTCATGGTGAGGGGACCTGTGTGTCTGTCTAGGAGAGCCACAAACTACACCTTGATTCTATGGATCACATGTCTAGTCTTCTCTGACAAGGACCAAACTTTATGTGGACCTGGTGTCTGTTGTACACATTAAACATCTTTTAGCAGTGAAACATGGAGAAAGAATAGCCTAGGCATAATTTTTAAATTAGAAATCTCTCAAAGTCAACTGTTATAGCATGGGTCATTCTGATGTATGCACATTTGGATCTTCATCAGTGCTTTGGAGTTTGTGCCTTGTGCTGAGATTCTCCTTGTATGCTCTTTCAGAGGAGATGAGAGCAATAATTGGTGATGTCCTTGTGCAGTGATCCCTTAGAAACTAGGACTTCACCTGTCACCCATTTAAGGCTGGGTATTTGTGCATACCAGTCAGTGAGGGAGTTATTTGTAATTCATATTATGTTGGACACCTTTCAGTCATTAGTGAAAGAAAAGGACCCTTGATGTCAGTGAAGCATCAGGAATTTTTATAGACCCGTTGACACCACTGACGATGTCGTCAGCATCACCACGGTCACCTTGACTTCCCAGGACATTACATGGGATGTATTTTAAGCTGGGTCCACTCGGGATCCACAATAAATTTTGAAGAACAAAACTGATATATACAGATTAAAACCAAAAACCTTTGTGAGTGTTGGTGACTCACAAGTGTTTGTGGGTCTGCATGTATTTTATCTCTCCACCATCTTCTTGTCTGTCTCATGGCTTACTTACATTCAGATCTGTTGTGGATACAGTTTTTGTTAAATCTGTTGTGGATACAGTTTGTGTTAAATCTGTTGTGGATACAGTTTGTGTTAAATCTGTTGTGGATACAGTTTGTGTTAAATCTGTTGTGGATACAGTTTGTGTTAAATCTGTTGTGGATATAGATTGTGTTAAATCTGTTGTGGATACAGTTTGTGATAAATCTGTTGTGGATACAATTTGTGTTAAATCTGTTGTGGATACAGTTTGTGTTAAATCTGTTGTGGATACAGTTTGTGTTAAATCTGTTGTGGATACAGTTTGTGTTAAATCTGTTGTGGATACAGTTTGTGTTAAATCTGTTGTGGATACAGTTTGTGTTAAATCTGTTGTGGATACAGTTTGTGTTAAATCTGTTGTGGATACAGTTTGTGTTAAATTTGTTGTGGATACAGTTTGTGTTAAATCTGTTGTGGATATAGATTGTGTTAAATCTGTTGTGGATACAGTTTGTGATAAATCTGTTGTGGATACAATTTGTGTTAAATCTGTTGTGGATACAGTTTGTGTTAAATCTGTTGTGGATACAGTTTGTGTTAAATCTGTTGTGGATACAGTTTGTGTTAAATCTGTTGTGGATACAGTTTGTGTTAAATCTGTTGTGGATACAGTTTGTGTTTGTTGTAGATACAGTTTGTGTTAAATCTGTTGCGGATACAGTTTGTGTTAAATCTGTTGTGGATACAGTTTGTGTTAAATCTGTTGTGGATACAGTTTGTGTTTTATATGCCGCTCTCTCCGTATGCCTCCAACCATTACAGTCTATTAGCCCTCAGTGATGCCAGTATTTAAGGCCTCTTCATACGTTGTATGGTATAGTTAGATCTCTTATTCTTTATATGAATCTAGCATCTCGATGCAATATGGAAACTAATTAACTTCTTTATGAACAAATTCCATCCTTTTGAAAGCAAATGATTATTATAAAGAACACACAGAGTTTGATATTGTTATTTTCATTATTTATTGTTTTCAAAACAAGCCAGAAATAATGACAGTGAGAAATTACTTTGTTACAACGATAAAAATAAGCAGTAAGAGATGAACAACAGAAAAAAGTAGAGTGAATGGGTGAACCAGAGCTAGATATTTATAACTGGAAACTTACTGTTGCTTTGTTGTCTTCTCATTGAGGGCACCACCCAGATGCTAAATTTTTGCTACAAGAAAATCACATTTAAACATTTTGTACATCGGTCTTTTAGTTTGTTGGAACCATAGCTTTATTATTAAAGCCAGCATTCTAGCCACTTGACCACTTGCTGCTTCAAGGTCTGGTCTGTACGCCTTGAGATATCATGAGAGATAAATTAGCAGGAATTGACTGACACTTCTAGAAGGAAGAAAGGAAAACACAGAGCATACAGTGGGTGATATAACTGCATTGATTGCTTTAGACAGACTAGGTTTGAAACCTGCCCCTCCAAATAACGACAGTGTGTAAATGAAGGAAGCAGTGAACGTTGATGAATGACCAGCCTTAAGGTTTTCAGTTTGTGTGTTGTCTTGTGTGTCCTCCGTCATGAAGTCATGGTAGGGCGGATGGTTAGCATTATTGCCTGCTAGCTTAGTGGTCACAGACTCAAATCTTCTTTGAATCAAATGTATGGCTGCCTGACTGATCACAGACTCAAATCTTCTTTGAATCAAATGTATGGCTGCCTGACTGATCACAGACTCAAATCTTCTTTGAATCAAATGTATGGCTGCCTGACTGATCACAGACTCAAATCTTCTTTGAATCAAATGTATGGCTGCCTGACTGATCACAGACTCAAATCTTCTTTGAATCAAATGTATGGCTGCCTGACTGATCACAGACTCAAATCTTCTTTGAATCAAATGTATGGCTGCCTGACTGATCACAGACTCAAATCTTCTTTGAATCAAATGTATGGCTGCCTGACTGATCACAGACTCAAATCTTCTTTGAATCAAATGTATGGCTGCCTGACTGATCACAGACTCAAATCTTCTTTGAATCAAATGTATGGCTGCCTGACTGATCACAGACTCAAATCTTCTTTGAATCAAATGTATGGCTGCCTGAATGATCACAGACTCAAATCTTCTTTGAACCAAATGTATGGCTGCCTGACTGATCACAGACTCAAATCTTCTTTGAACCAAATGTATGGCTGGCTGCCTGACTGATCACAGACTCAAATCTTCTTTGAATCAAATGTATGGCTGCCTGACTGATCACAGACTCAAATCTTCTTTGAATCAAATGTATGGCTGCCTGACTGATCACAGACTCAAATCTTCTTTGAATCAAATGTATGGCTGCCTGACTGATCACAGACTCAAATCTTCTTTGAATCAAATGTATGGCTGCCTGACTGATCACAGACTCAAATCTTCTTTGAACCAAATGTATGGCTGCCTGAATGATCACAGACTCAAATCTTCTTTGAACCAAATGTATGGCTGCCTGAATGATCACAGACTCAAATCTTCTTTGAACCAAATGTATGGCTGCCTGACTGATCACAGACTCAAATCTTCTTTGAACTAAATGTATGGCTGCCTGAATGATCACAGACTCAAATCTTCTTTGAACCAAATGTATGGCTGCCTGAATGATCAAATTTGTTATTTCAGCATGTAAAGATATGTAGTGTGATTCTGATCATAATACCCATTGAGTGCCAGTTTGTCTATAACAGTATGGGGTGAGCACTATTTGTCTAATAAACCTTAAAGTATAGAATAAACCTTTCTTCTTCTTCCCCCAGTGAAGCAAAGGCCATCAACCAACTCGCGCCAAGTGATTCTATCCTTCATTATCCATTTACCCCATGTCAATCCTATCTTTTTAACTTCCCTCTGTAGCTCCCTGGTTTTTTGGTCTGCCTTTTTTTTCTACGCCCCGTGGGTTGGTTAGTTTTTGTGTGGGGGCTATTGTTTTTCTTTTAGAGGACGAAATAGGCCAACTATATCCTTAGTCCCCCCTTACGACATGCCTGGTGGGGTCAGTATTACTATTCTTTGCTTCCCATGAGGCCCCTGCTAGCACACACACAGGATCCTTTACCAGCCTACTAATGTTTCATCTCAACTTCTTCCTGCACTTTTGTTGGTGTTATTATGCCCTGTGAATTTATTTGCCATCTTGTGTACAGGAAGTCCCATCAGTTTGCATACTTAGGGAAGATAAACATATCACTGACACCATTACAAGCACAACTCCAGCTGGCCTTATACAGCTTCGTTAGCACTGGAGGACATAACTCCAGCTGGCCTTCTACAGCTTCGTTAGCACTGGAGGAGATAACTTCAGCTGGCCTTCTACAGCTTCGTTAGCACTGGAGGACATAACTCCGGCTGGCATTATACAGCTTCGTTAGCACTGGAGGACATAACTCCAGCTGTCCTTATACAGCTTTGTTAGCATTGGAGGACATAACTTCAGCTGGCCTTCTACAGCTTCGTTAGCATTGGAGCACACACATAGACATGTGTTTTCAAACCAGTGATGTTTTTTCTTCCATGTATATAAACTAGTTGGACACTTGTAGATACACTTGTATACGATGTCTGGTCAGGCCAGTAGCATGCCAGCCACTTTTACCTCCTAGTACATTTCCCTGTACCCAATGTCAGGCATGCAGCTACTCCTGTATAGATAGAAAGCCTTGACACGAGTTAGTGTTTGAGCGTGGGCTACACTGGGAAACAACTTCACCAGATAGAAAAGATTGGAAGAATTGACTGCTAGCCCTATGTGGCACAAAAGGATGATGATAATTATTAAGCTGTGTGGATGTGGAAACCAAGTTACATTTTTTTTCTTCTCAATTGTCTAAATAGCAGTTCACAGCTGTTCACCATCAGGCTAGTTGGCAGCCATATAGCCACTATGTTAAAGTGGTAACTAGAACAATGAAATAAGAAATAATGTCAATTCACATTGGGATTTCAGCTTAACTGATTACATAATGATATAACATAATAATGTAATAAATAATATTCACAATGAATAATGTAATATTTGACCATATAAATTCACAGACAGTAATATCTTCCAGAAATGATGAAAGGGGATGGGTAAACAAGCCTAATTGTTTAGAAATTCATCATAAGACATATTTCTCCATATATGGATAGAATTAGGGTAACTATGTTTTGTATGATGGTTATGAAAAGTATCTGGAGGCTAGTAGAAATAACTTGGAGCACTTGTGGTAACTTCAAACATCACATATAACATGAATACATCTCTTCATGTCTAAATAAATTGAATATCAAAATGTTTGTACCGGTTATTTTAAAAACTTCTTGCAACACATTTCTACCGTAATGTATTCAAAGGTTGCAAATATCGCACTTGTAGATACACTTCACTGCTGGCCGATTGCTGTGCATACATTTTTGTGTGTGTTTGTGTGGCCAACTCTGTATATAAAAGAGGGTCGGGGGACACACAGTTTCCTGCAGAAATTTGATGAGGTAGCCAAGAAAGATTTTAAGCTGGAGCACATAAAAGTGAAGTACAAAGTAATACATTGTAGAACTAATTTCATAACTGTCTTCACATCTTGACTTTCAGAAGCAGACAGAATAGGCAGAAGGTGCAGTTTCATTCTATGTAATACATTTTCCTTTCAAATAAAATTAATCCATACACACACACACAAAAAAGCAAAATATAGACAAACACTTGTCTTATACAAATTGAAAGTAATAAATTAAAACATACACCATATATACAAATGGTAACAAACTTATGTACATAATCTGTAGTCAGGTATACAGATATTGAAATATTGCACGAGTCCAGCCGTTAGGCTAATGTTTCATAACATTAGCATTATATATGTACATTGGTTACAGATCTGTTGAGTTTGCTACAGTCAAACAGTTCCGTAACAAGTAAACATGATTTTATGAGTGTGTAACAAACAGTTCTGTAACAAGTAAACATGATTTTATGAGTGTGTAACAAACAGTTCCGTAACAAGTAAACATGATTTTATGAGTGTGTAACAAACAGTTCCGTAACAAGTAAACATGATTTTATGAGTGTGTAACAAACAGTTCTGTAACAAGTAAACATGATTTTATGAGTGTGTAACAAACAGTTCCGTAACAAGTAAACATGATTTTATGAGTGTGTAACAAACAGTTCTGTAACAAGTAAACATGATTTTATGAGTGTGTAACAAACAGTTCTGTAACAAGTAAACATGATTTTATGAGTGTGTAGCAAACTGTTGTGCTGTTGGTCTAGGAGGTCTGTGTATTTAATTAACCAAGAGATAAACGCCTTGACTGCCAGGTCGACCCAGCCTTGAGCGGGTCCTGGGTGCAGTCCCAGGAAGTACAGGCGTGATGCTGACCACATCATCCATCTTGTTCCAATTGGTCTGTAAAAAATATAGGTCTAGCACCATATGCCCTATATGCCTAAAGGAGTGAAAAAGGGACCTTTACTTTACTTTTAAGAGATAAACAGGCAGGGAATTCTTGACACTGCAGAAATAGTTTATGATAAACAAATTGGCATATATTGATTTGCACTCATAGAAAGCAGTAGAAAGACAGAAGGACACACTAGAGAAAGAAA